ACTAAAAGTGTTCTTATAAGGGGAAGATTAGATACACAGAGAGGAGAAGGTGATGAGAATGGTGGCAGAGATTGGAGCGAGGCCCCCTCCTCAAGCCAAGGACTGCCAGAAGCCACCAACACCTGGAATAGGCAATGAATGGATCCTCCCTCAGAGCATTTGGGGCGGGGTGGTGGCGGGGGGGGGGGCGTGGCGCTGCTAACACCCTCATTTTAGACTTCTGGCCTCCAGTCTAGGAGAGAATACATTTCTGTCGTTTTAAGCCCCCCAGTTTTTGGTAATTTGTTATAGCAACCACAGGAAACTTATACATCCCCCCAAGAAAGGACTATCATTAGCCCTATTTTACTGATGAGAAAACTGAGGCAAAGAGAGATTCGATTACTTGCCTAGTAAGTGGAGCAAGAATTCTAAGCTTCTCAGTTGATACCACAGTCCCACATCCACCAGCAAGCCAGGCTGCCTTGGCATCTCTGTTAGATCACTACTGGGCTGCACTTGGTTGAGGAAACCCACCCTGGGCCTCCTGGTCCCCTTGACAAGGGCAGAAAATCTATCACCCTTCTTCATGGCATGGAAAGCCTTTATGACAATGTCTGAAATATAGCAAGGACTCAGTGGCAGGTATTATGTTGTCTATGAGTTCTCTCAAACCCCACTTAACCAAGCCTTGGGGCCCCACTGTCTAGACGTGGGAAAGGGAAGAGGGGAACCTGAGAGGGTGTTCATAATGGATGGGAAACAGGGACTGCCAGCTGCCTTGTAATATTCCTGCTCCCCTTTGTTCTTAGTAACAGGATCAAATCCTGCTTTCCTTCGGGCTGAAAAGCACATAACTAAAAGACTATATTTCCAAGCCGCCTTTGTGGCTTTGAGTATACAGTGAAATGTTAGTAGAATTAGTAAAGCAGGGTTTCCATGAGAGCCCTTTAAAGGGCTGATGCAACAAGAATTGTGTCTCTTCTACCATTTCCCTTCCTCTCTTCCTTCCTGGAACATAGACAATGAGACCTGGAGTTACAGCAGCCATCTTGTAACCATGAACATATTTGAGGAGTGAAATTATATGCTAAGGATGGTGGATCGAAAATATAGGCCCCTGAAATCGTATCAAATGAACTATCCCACCAGCCTTGGACTGCTCACCTCTGGATTTCTTGTAGAAGAGAATACGAAACTCTAATTTGTTTAAGCCACTCTATTGTCTCTATTGGCAGCCAAAAGCAATCACTATCTGATACAAAGAATAATGGAGACCCCAAGAGATTCACATAGCATCAGCCCCAACACATGATTTTTTTTTCTTTTTGCAGATAAGATAGAAGTTGAGATTTGAGAGTCACTATAAGCGAAGACGAAGCCCTAATGAGATGATATCCTTTCCTTTATTTTCAAAGCTTACAAAAATCTCTCTCTCTCCCAGACCTGCTTTCCTTCAGTTGGCTCTTTCAGATGGACATATGGATCTCTCCACATCTGTCCTAGGGCTTGTTCCTACCGGGTGTTCAAAACCCTTTGCCATCAACTGGGATGATAGTGATGTGCTTAGGTGAAGTCTCTTAACAAACCCTACAAACTTGGTGTTCGAGTAGTAGTCAGCCTCACTCATGTCCAAGTGGGGTTCTACCTGTGAGTTACCGCCCACAAAAACACCTGTGTTTCACTGGGAAGAAAAAGCTTGTATGCGTACCGGTTGCCTAACGAGGTCTTTGGTGAGAATTGTGGCTTCAAATAAGGTGACCCCACTCTGATTCCATTAAAGACCAGGCTTTACCACTGAAGCACTCACACCTTTTAATTGTGCTTTATG